AAAAAAAAAAAAAAAAAGATTATTTTGGATAACATGTAGCATCATTGAATAATGCGCCTGATATAGGATTGATTTTAAACATGTGTAGAACTTTACAAGCTGAGTCTAAAACATACATGAAAAAGCAAGGCAAAGTTATATACGCATTGAGATTATAACCATATACAATGAGTTTTTTAAAAATCATGAAGGAAATGTAACAAAATGTAATAGCAGTTGCATCAGGTCATAAAATGATGGGTAAGGTTTTTCCTTGCTTTCATATTTGACTTGCATAACTTATTTAAAAAAGGCATTTGTTCTTCTCATAAAAAGGCCATTTTATTAACATTTCCATCAAGCCATCTCCTGAAGATGGACATATGAGGAAAATGATAACAAAAGAAAATATTTGATAAAATAGCTTTCAGGAAATACGTATGTTGTATTCTCCAATAATTTCTCTCTAGCTTTGGTTTCTGGAGTAGCTAATTCAGATGATCTCTTATATGTTCTTATCTGTGAAACCGACCTTATTTCTACCTCTTCAGGGATATATTATTCCAATGGATTTTATTTGGCTGAAGCACCTAATTCCAGATGTTCTTCAGAATAACAAGGACTTTCTCTTTGGGAATATTAGAGAACTTTATGAATTTCACAACAGGTAAATAATAGTTCACACTTTTAGGAAAAATGGGAAATGAGAGAAGTGTGGACAGACTGATGGAATTTGGAAATGTTAAGTCCTTATATGTTTCGAGGCCTAAGCAAGTAGGTTGGAGTCAGAGGGTTGGGGTGGGATGGGGTAAGAAGATTGGGTGAAGTTCTGCAGGAACCTTCCGGAGGAAGAAGGGAAAAGACATCAGAGGAGCACGTACTTGGCACCAGGCATCTGAGTAGAATTCAGTCGAGCGTTCCTGTGCTTGTTTAGTTATTTGTGCATCAGCATCTATTGAGCACCTGTTTTGTACCAGGCACGACGCTCAGCATTGAGAATGCAATAACGACCAAGACTCATGTCCACATAGCGTTATCATAGGGTGATGCTGGGAAGTAGGGTGTTAGAAAATGCTTGGATGTTGAGCCCTAGAGAATTGTAGGAGAAAGAGACTTCAGAAATCATCTTCCTACCCTTTCACTTGACTGACACATGTGGAAATGGTAACTTGTTGACTCAGTTTACTTCCTGTGATGACCCCAAGATCACACCTAATTCGTGAAGGGATAAAGAGTGTTTGGTGAATTCAACCACAGTTGTTTCCTAACTCCAACCCTTGTCCAGACACGAAACTGAAATGGAAACCCCTTTCTGCTAATTTCCCTATGGAAATTAATTTCCCTTTGGCTTCTTGAGCTGCAGGTTTCATGTTTATGAAACCCGATCCTGTAGGATGTGGTCAAGGATTAAATGGGATATTAATTATGAGGCACTTAGCTTATGCCTGGCTTGTAGTAAGCTCTCAGTGACATTAGTCATAGCATCAGCAGAACATATTTTCATGTAGTGGGGAGTATCAGTATCCAGTCTTGCTATGAGTAGTACTTAGAATGACCAGAACAGCCATGGGAGGCTTCAGGGTAATCACAGTAAAGCCTCAAAATACATCATTTTCTTTCAAATTAGTGTATAGAAGATAAGTCAAAAGCAATAAACCCCAGTGAGACACACATTTTTCTAGGTTCCTCTTAAAACCATATGTGATTTTACTTAAAAAAAAATTTTAACCCTATGCATGTAAAAATGAAACCATTATTACCTGTATACTTTTATTTCCCCAGGACTTTTCTAAAAGAATTGGAAAAGTGTGCTGAAAACCCTGAACTTCTGGCACACTGCTTTCTCAAGAGAGTGAGTCTATGCTCCCAATAAATCAAAATAACCATGAGATTAAAGTCAGCCCTTAATTTTCTGCGTAAGTGGCAAGGGCAAAATGGAAACACCCCATAGTCTAAAAATGTATATCTGCTTCCCTCCCTTAGCTTTACTGAAGTATAAATTAACAAGTAAAAATTGTATACAAGGTATACAACATGGTGGTTTGATGTACATATGCATTGGGAAATGATTACCACAGTCAAATTAATTGTGTGTGTATGTGACCAAAAAATGTTGAACCCATAGAATCAGAGAATAGAAGGATGGTTGCCAGGGGCTGGGGGCTTGGAGAAATGGGGGGATGATGTCAAAGAGTATAAACTTGCAGTTATAAGTAAGTTCTGGAAATGAAATGCACAGCATGGTGACTGTAGCTAATAATACTGCTCCATATACTTGGAATTTGCTAAGACCGTAGATTTTAGATCTGCCTTTTGAATGGAAAACAGGAGTTGTCTTCCAACTTTATTTCACTTCATCCAGGGTGAGGCTGAGTCCAATGTGAGCTTATACTGAGACATGGAAGCAACTACAAGTATGATGTATCACACAGAGTCCCATGACATGCAAAGCCGGCCACACGGTGTCCCCAAAGCAGATGATCCTCTTATGTATGACTGAGCTGTATTAGGACAAGAACCATGAAGTGGATGTAAAGTCTCACATTCAAGTTGTTTGAATGCTTTCAAAGAGAGAAGTATTGATGTTAAATTGAAAATCTCAGAAAATATATTTTCTTATATTTTATCTTAGAGGGTGATTAGAAATTGAAATCTGTATGGCCTCTCTTTGGCTTAGCACCTGATTGATGAAAACTTGCCTACATTGCCAGACCTCCCCCACCCCAGACTTCTTCCCTCCGGCCCTCTTTCTCCACCCTCATTTTGGGCAATAAACAGCCTGTTTGGGCTGGCCAGAGCTATCACAGAGATGTGTTCTACCCAACATCATTCCTCACCAATGCTGTCCACGATGACCACACAGATGAGCCTGGTGCCCTCTGCTTTCTAAATCTTTCTTATGTCGAGTCTAGAAATACCTTGTGGTTGCATATAGTATTATCACAAAGATTATTTAAATTGTTGAATGAAAAAAAGAGCCAAATTCCCATGGGAAAAAAATGGATAAAAGTATGTGTTCTGCAAAATTTGGAGGGTCCCACTCCAGGATCCAGAGGGGCAAGGTTCCCAACCCCTATATGAATTTTGAAACAGTCTTCTGGCCAAGGTTTGTTTTTTGTTTTTGACAGGGTCTCGCTGTCACCCAGGCTGGAAAGCAGCAGCTGGGTCATAGCTCACTGCAGCCTCAAACTCTGGGGCTCTATTGATCCTCGCTCCTCTGGCTCCAAAAATGCCGAGACATGAGCCACCACACTCAGCCTGGCCAAGTGTTTTAATCAGACTTCTTAGCCTGTGTCATCTAGGAAAATTCTTTTCCAGGGACCATGCTCAATATAGAATATTTGTAGTTTACTTTGGGTTTCAATTACTGTGAGATCTCAAATGGACAGAGGACTGGGGTGGGACACAAGAAACCTGACTTCTCTTCTTAGCAGAGCTGCTGTTCTCCTCATGACCTCAAGTAAATAACTTAAACCCTTGTAATCTCACTTTCCTCCTACATACAACAGGCTTAATAGTGCTGATACATGAAGTTGTCACAGTAAACAAAGAAAATAATGCACACGACAGGTTCTATAAAGTAAAAAGTGCTTTGACAATAGCTACCATTTTTTGAGTACTCTGTATATGTTGAGCATTTGTTGAGAGGTTTCTGTGCATTATCTTATTTCATCTTAGAAAAATCATAGACGTTTACAACTGTTAGGAGCTCACTTAACAAATGAAGAAACTGAAGTCTAGGAAGGTTAAGTAACTTAGGCCGTATAGTTTGTAATTGGCAAAGCCAAGAACCAAAGACCATTTACCAGTAGAAGGCATGGTCTTAATCCATAAACTGTCATGTTTCCTGGGAATCTAAGCTTTTGGTAGCAGCTTTATAGTCTCTTGATTTATTCCACAAGGACAGGAGAGGAACTGAACATTTTTATATGTTGCTGGCTAATGCACGTCCTTTCTCTAAGAAATTTTGGACCGTTAACCTTTAGAAGAGGAATTTAGGTTATAATGTTGTTAAGCTTGGAATTATTATTCTAGTTCCTTAACCAGTCTGAAAAACATTTCTCAAGGGCCATTGTTCTTCTTAAGAGTGTGTGTATGTTTGTAATTTATTTTTCCCAGAGGAAATAGCAAAGAACAGAGTTGCTGTAGTTCTTATGCTACAATGACCACTTACAATCTATCAGGAGAGGAGAGCTACAGAATGGGAAATCATTCAGGATAGCAGTGTATTTGAAAGTAGACTAGACCTCATTGAGGTTACAAGGGGAAAATAACCTATATTGACACAAAAGAAAATAATTGTCCTGAGCAGGAAGTTACGGATATAGAAATGTGCAAGGATTTGTCCAGTGGGCTTCTCGGCCAGAGCACATGGGCTCCATGGTCAGCACGGCTGCTGTGGACCTGGCTCCTCTGATGAAGTGAATGAAGCTGGAAAGTTGACTCCGGCGTCCTTTGTGATTGAGTTATTGGTAGATGCATGCCAACTTCTTGAGGTCTTTTTTTTTTTTTTTTTTTTTTCTGAGACAGAGTCTAACTCTATCGCCTTCAGTAGAGTGCTGTTACATCACTGCTCGCAGCAACCTCCAACTCCTGGGCTTAGGCGATTCTCTTGCCTTGGTCTCCTGAGTAGCTGGGACTACAGGTGCCCAGCACAACACTGGTTATTTCTTTTTGTTGCAGTTTGGCTGGGACTGGGTTCAAACCTGCCACCCTCGGTATATGGGGCCAGAGCCCTACCCATTGAGCCACAGGTGCCGCCCCACTTCTCAAGGTCTTTGACATAATGAGGATATGGGTTGAACAGCACTTCGAGTCGTTCTTGATCTCTAGCTTTGAAACAGTTGGATCGCGTGGCAGTCCTGGTGTTAGAGGCAGAGGATGCCACGTTGAGTGTTGCCCAGATGGCTCAGATCTGTGTTCTGTGTGTGTTATCCAAACAGCCACGTTCCCTTCTAGGGTGTTTCCATCTTTTAGTTCTTTTCAGTAGGGTTGACATCGTTATGCCTGTATAAGGGGAGGATGAAGAGAGGGAAGGGAGGCGCCATCAGCCATCAGCATTTTATTCTGCCGGTTTTATCATCTACGGCAAAACTGTTCTGGGAAGATGGTGTTCCAGACAAAAAGCAGAAAATGAAGGATAAAAATAAGAACCAATTCCTGGTCAGGAGTTTACTTATGTGTTTACCAGCAGGCCTTACAGGTGCTGTCAAAACTCTGTTCATGTGTGTATTTTGTTCTCAGGGTTATTATAGCCCTCTGTCTACCTCCCCATCACATACTACTCCAAAGAAGGATATTTTTCATACTCCCCCAATTCTCTACACCACAGTGGAATACTTAGTCTTGTCGAGTGAATGAATACACTATTTTATCCTGTCCACTTACTGAAAAATACTACCTGATTAATTTGTTCTAATTTTTTCCCATGCAGAAAGAAGATCTTCAAATATATTTTAAATACCATAAGAATCTGCCCCGAGCCAGGGCAATCTGGCAAGAATGTCAAGACTGTGCCTACTTTGGGGTAATGTTGAGATTTAAAAATCTCCTACAAATCTCTCTAAAAAATGTTTATGTGCATCAAATTTTTAAAGAAATCCAAAGTATGAACTAAGAAGAGACAATCTGGAATTAGGACTTATGTTTGTTAAAAGTCTCCCATTCTTTGAAATTGCACATTAGAAGTTTTCATGCTGGCTCAGCACCTTTAGTACAGTGGTTACGGTGTCGGCCACATACACTGAGGCTGGCAGATTCGAACCTGGCCTGGGCCAGCGGAACAACAATGACACCTGCAACAACAACAACAAAATAGCTGGGCGTTGTGGTGGGCACCTGTAGTCCCAGCTACTTGGGAGGCTGAGGCAAGAGAATCACTTAAGCCCAAGAGTTGGAGGTTGCTGTGAGCTGTGACACCACAGCACTCTACCAAGGGCAACATAATAAGACTCTGTCTCAAAAAAATAAAAATGTCCTGGGGGAAGAGGCAAAATGGCTGACTGTAGCCAGCTTTCAGCAGAGGCTTCTGTCCAGAGGGAGAAATAATGGCCAGAACCAACCCAATAAAGTGGAAGTTTGGGAGCTGAGCCGAGGGAGGATTGATAGGTTCTCATCACCCCTGCTGAGGCAAGCTGGGACTCCAAGGAAACAAATTTCAGGTTGTTTCCACAAAACCCATCCCAAAGAGGCCGGGAATCTTTCCCCTCCCCTCACCTCATGAGAGCGGCTTGAGGCCAGTAGTGAATAGAGGACCTTTTGTTTTACCAAAGGGGAGAGAACAACTGAGGGCCGGGACTCCCTCCACAGAGAGATACCGCTGCAAACCCAGGCAGTCTCTTGCCTGGGTGAAAAGTTGAACTAATATTCTCCCTACCTTCCTGAACTTCCAACCCACCCTTCCTTCCTCACCTGCAGAAGTGTCTGGCAGAGTTTTGCTAGAGTGGGGCATCTCATGAGCTGTGGGGCAGTTGCACTGAAACTATAACATTTAATAGAGGTGGGGAGTTACAAGGGGAGAGGGACTTGCCCATGTTGGAAAGAGCATAGCGCGGGACCCCTGCCACCGACCACTGGGGACCACCGTGGCACCAGCTCTCTGCCTCCCCGCCTGGCTCCAGCAGTACCCCAGACCGGCAGCACCACCCCCAACAGTGCAGCGCCACCCCTGATGGTGGTGGTGGCTCCATGGTCCCTCCCACTGGGTCAAATTTGGGAGAGACACCTTTATAATTCTGTGGAACACAGAGGGAATCTGACCTGACCTGCAGAGGTTGCAGAGGTGGAGTGAGGCCAAGGCAGAGGTGCAGTCTCTGAGGGAGAGAACCACACTCCTCCACGGTAATCCCCAGGTAGGTATAGATGCAGATGGAACACTCCCCAGTTTCCAATGATCACCAGAGGGAATCAGGCCTGAACTCCTCCTGCCTGCAGCATGGACTGGTGAGATGGACTGGTCAGGGAGGCATTGTCTCCTCTTTGATTTAGGTGCAAATCCCTGGTGTACCTGAGTATTAGAGAGAGCGGGGCTGCAGCCCTGCGGGGTACCAGTGACTAGGGGTGACAGAGATACAAAGTGGGAAAAGAGGCATCAGCCCCCACAGAATAATTCGTTTGCTGGGCAGGCCTTTCTGACTCCACAGACCACCAGAGCAAGTCACACTTGAGCTGCCAGTGGACCCCAGCTGTCCAGTTGCTGGAGACCTTGTGAATTCTCCCACTTGATCTGTGTTTGTGCTGACGGGGGACAATTGGTTTGGAACTCTTGATCTGGGCCGATCACCCATGGACTCTCCAAGATTATACCGTGGTTGTGTTGTAGAGGGA